ACTGTGATCTCGTTAACAAGGGCACACTGCTACGCTACTCACTATCTATCACAGAATAGAAAGTGAGTAGCCAATCAGAGAATGCCATTTGAAATAGAACGCTAGTAGATTTATACTAACACAGAATAGATAATGAGTAGTGTAGCCAATCAGGTAGCAGTATTTGTGACAGAATGCTAGTAGATTTTTACTAATTGCCAATAGAATGTGTGCACTTCAAAACAGAAATATAAAAATTAGCTGTTGTGGTTCAAGTTCTCAAAAATACTTAGAAATTGGTCATTTCACATTGTTCTTGTTTTCATACATGTAGAACGTCTATGAATTTTAAAGATATGCATAATGTAAATACAGACTGAGCCATTGCTCTGCATGACGTTCTTGTTGCTGTTGCCTAGTTTGCATGGGGTCTGAAGTGTCTCAAGGGTACAACTTTGACATAGGCTTCATGAGAAAAGCCTTTTGCAGCGAGATTTCTGAAATGATGTTTTGACCATAAGAGAGCATAGGGCTACTCTTTTCTTCTGAGATACCTGGTCATCTTTGATGGGCAACAACAACAACAACAACAACAAGGCTTATTTGAACTGTAAAATTAACTTAATTACTAATTAAATAATATGGCATGGCTCAAGCTGGAACTTGGAAGCTTGATTTCAGGGGCAAAGCCATCAAAATTTAAAGTTTTTGGGAGTAGATGAAAATCCTAATAGACAATATAGACACCAGCCTCTCTTCAAGCTAGCAAGATGACTAGCCTGACATCTGATTCAGTGGCATCATGCCTGTTACTACATGTACAGTATGGCCACGTTCTATTAGATGACCCAAAAGTTTATAATTTAATTTGTCGCTTTTAAAATAATTTTATTTACATGTATTTACTGTAAGAAGCCCTTTAATACAACCCACTCTATCAAATGACCAGATGTTTGTGGCTTGATAATTGCATGTACATGCTATTTCACCGTACCTAAAGTTAAGTCTGTATTGAGTCAGTGTCTTGCACTGACATTATCATGTCTTCTGGGGTGATTGTTTAGTGTTCGTATCGTACCGCCCCCGAGATGAACGCTTCTTCTTCGTATTAGCTTTTAAAATTTGTTTATCTCACCAGTTGTTTACACTGGTCATTCCTTAGTGGTGCACCCCTCCTAAGAAAAATCCTGGATCCACCTGTGACTTGATCTACATTTTCACTGCAGTTAGTCAGAAATAATATCTTTTTTTTTTTTTTTCAGTTAGAGAATCTTCTAACAATGATACAAAACAAAATGAATGGCAAAGATCCGATTCAACTCAAGGATTCCGCACTCCGATTAAAATCATCACCAAACAACAGTGACCAAGAGGAAGACTTAAATAAACTGGATGATTACGAGCTCGACAAGAGAAAAGCTGACATGGACAAGGATTTTGAAAAGAACCGAATCAAACCTGGAGATGAAGACTTCGTGTATGACAAGGAAGTGGAGTTCAATGAGGGCAAGATAGAGTCAGGATGGGACGATGATGACGAATATTCTGATCCAGAGTTCTGAAATTATTTATAACAAGCATTGAATTGTGGAGGTTGTAAAAAAAGGTCTTTTTTTACTGCAGTTTGCGATTTTGGTATATGGATATTATGCATTTAGGTACATAAATTCTGGATGTTTGGAGAACTTTGGTCGTGGGAATTTCTACAGTAAATTATTTTATATGCAATACGATCAACGTCTTAATTTAACATTCCAATGTTTCTCTTAATAAAAAGAATGATTTAACTGGTCATAGCAAGAATGAGCATAAAATTATTTTTTGCTAAGTCACTTTTTTTTTTGTCAAGTCCTCGAAAGTTTGCTAGATCCTTCAAAAAAAGTTCTCCAAAAGGAAAAAGGTATTTTTAAGAAACAAAGTCTTTACATCTTCACCAACAGTCCTTCGAAAATCAACAGAAAGCACAAGCTACTCTAAATGGCAAGCTCAAACTGGTTTCAATGAGAACTTTCCAACATTTAAATTTAAGGAAAAATCATAGGTATGACAAAATTCGTAAATCTGATTGGTTACCAGCAGCTCGGCTGTTGTAGGACAGATATACTAAAATGGGTTTCCTCGCGTGGATCTCAAGTTTGTTATGATTTATAACATGACTGAGTCGTCCAATAGGCCTTTTTGCAACACTTGGTCACGTGACCGATAATTTCTAAACTTTTATCTACAGCTAAGTGAATTTCGGAATTGGAAAGAGCGTGTTTTAAATAGCCAGAAAACCAATTTCAAGTAAGGTTGAGTTCTAATGACGATTTATATATTGCACAAATTAGAAGGTATTGTGTAGAAGTGATGAAGTGATGAAGTGACAAGCGAGAGCTGAAAATACGTCTGCGTTCGAAGGCTAACACCACGCCGGTGAAATTCGAAAACGGCGTTTTCGCTCTGAAAACACATCAGATGTTTTCCTTTCACACTACGCCGGAGAAATTTAAAAACGCAACAATCACCGGTCATTTTGGATTTGTGTTTGAGGAAAACTCGAGTAGGGAAATCACATAATTATCGTGACGTCATCATTTTCGGAAAGCTCCGATCCGTTTTCAAAATGTTTTCCGTGTAGACTAAAACGCTAAGCCGGCGCTTTCAAATTCCTCCGGTTTGAAGAGAGTTTATGGAAAGCTCCGTTCTCGTGATAGATTAGTGTCGATGGCAAGTCTAACCATAAAAAATAAAGCTGCGTTTTCAAATTTCTCCGGCGTATAGTGTGGGCGTATTGACGTAGTGTAGTCGGCGTAATATGGGCGGGGCCTAAATCAGGCCCCGCCCATACAAAGCGGGCTACACTACGTCAATAGGGAGCTTCAGCAACGACAACGACGACGCCGAGGACGACGCCTAGTAAAAAACGTATTTATATTTTACAGCGAAATTCGCGATTGTCTAGATCTGTTCGGTACCCCAATGGCTCTTAAAACGTGCTTAAGCTAAATATGCAACGACGGTGTTGAATTCCAAATGGAAAAACGAAAGATTAACCTTCGTCGACCTTGTTCCGTAGATGACGCAGAACTTAGTCATTTTACGTTGTTGTTTTGCAGAGGGCGGCAAAGAAATGTACAAAGATTTATAACGCACGTGCACAGCTTCTGTTTTGCTCATTAGACCTTTTGTTTAGTGACGTTCTCGTTGCCGTCGTCGTCGTGGTTTGCTTAAGCTCCCTATTAGGGAGCTTAAGCAACGACAACGGCGACGGCGAGGGACGGCGCCAAGTTAAAACTTTATTTACATTTTACCAGCGAAATTCGCAATTGTCTAGATCTGGTCAGTACGCCAATGGCTTTAAAAAGGTGTTCAGGCTAAATATGCAATGACAGCGTCCAATTCCAAATGGAAATACGAAACATTAGCCGTCGTCGTTCACGTTGCTCAGACTACGCAGAGCTTTGTCGTTTCACGTTGTTGTTTTGATGAGGACGGCAAAGAAATGTAAAAAGATTTATAACGCACGTGCACAGCTTGTTTTCCTCATTAAACGTTTTGTTTGGTGACGGTCTCGTTGCCGTCGTCGTCGTGGTTTGCTTAAGCTCCCTTGTCTGTTCTTGAAAAGCACGTCACGTGACCAGCTGTTGCAATAGGCCTACTGGGCCTGTAATCACACTCGTGATTAAATAAATCGGTCATCCGCTTCGCGATCGTCCTATTCACACGTATGACTGCAAACCAAATTGCACTCCAGTCAGTCTTAATCGCGCGGCCTAAGGCGAAAGTGGTTCTTTAAATCGGGCAACTTCCACTTTTTCTGTCGCCTTGTTCCGGCGGAATTAGAAATCATGGGCTAAACTGTTTTAAAGAGATGACTTTTGAGCTTCTTCAGTTGTTATTTCACGACGAACTGATTATTTACGGAGTCGAAATAATGTTTTTGCAATAGACGCATTTTTGCGAGTCTTCCTGTAATTGAAACATTTGCCATTGCTTTAAAAGATATGTTTGTCCAGTCAATGCTTGACGAAACATTGGCAGTTATCGGTTTCGCACGGGTTCCTGCGCGTATACAAATGAAATTTAAATATCCCGCACTCATTGAAATGAGAAGACGAACCAATCAAATGATTGCATTTAATCAGTCATGGGTTGTGTGGTGGCAAAACGTGTGCAAATGTAAATTGCAAATTATGATCGCTGAAACATTTTCTCCGTTGAGTTGCTTGGTCGTACATCTGCATGTACCATCCCGTTCAAGAATTCAACTAGCGGAAATTTGCTCTAAACCAGCTCTTTAAGTAGCTCTCGGCCACTTCTAGGAACACTGCAGTACCAAGCTCTCATTTGGACTGTCCTTTCGTTTTGAACGAAAAACATGCAATAAGAATTTACTCCAAGCAAACCTTGCAAGGACGTGCTTCGAATAAGATGGTTTTTGCGTCTACCAAGGTAAGAACAGACTGTGACCGAAAACAATATATTTTGTAGAGTTAATTTATATAACTTAGCCTCTTTCTTCTTCGAACGTTTTCTATGAATACTGGTAAACATTTAGAAACAATAAGCACTCTTCAAATTTATCAGCTAAACCCTCGGTCCACTCAATCATGAACGTCGACATTTAGAACTTCAGACTATCGGTGAATTCATCCTGATGGTGATATTTTGTAATAAAAAACTTCCGAAGAACTGATACAATTGATTTCTTATTTTCGAAACTGCATGTTGAATTCGCTCATTATTTTCAAATTACTTGTTTCAACGCAATGAAATGGCTTGTTACAGGCATGTATTAGTATCAGTATTACGAGCTTGATTAGAGAAGGCTGAATGCTTAGGTATCCTGAAAAACACTGGCAAATAATTTGTGTATTTTTTTAAATTTTATCCTTTTCCAGGACTGAGTAATGACGATGAAACGGACAGAGGTCTCAGTGGTGTGATCCATGGCACGATTACTTCAGGTAACTTGAACCGTTCACTCACATCTTTTATAAATCAAAATTTATATTCTCCTCACAGACCGCTATGCATTTCTTTTAATGTCAGTTCTGAGAATTTGGTAGTAAATCAAGCCAATATGCCAAAGTTTAAGATTTTTGCTTTCTGTCATCACCCATCTGCTTCATGACAATTTAGGGATATCATAAGACACAAACGTCGCCTTGATTGGATGAGATCTTGCTCTCTTCTCCGCAGAAGCCTTAAGGCCCTTCTTCGGGTGGGAAGAATCCGTTGAACACTATGAGTGCAGGCGCATGTTTACCATTCGACTTTGATTTTTAGCTTGCAAGAGTTGTTATTTCGGCCATTGTTTGTGAAGAATTTTTTTACGTTCTTTCATGGATATTTTTCCTTTGCCTTCTTCTTTACGCCACTTCTCTTACACGCATTTTGTTTGTCGTTGTTGTCGCTGTTGTTGTTGTTTTTTCTCATTATAGTTGAATTGTCGGAAACTTCAGTCGAATCACCGTGAACTTGCAAAGCAGTAAACCTCGCTTGTGTGAACTGAAATAATCTCTCAATTAGTGAATTAAATTAGTAAATTACACTTTTACGCCAAAAGGCACGAGTTTTGAACAGTTAAGGCAACCGGATAATTTCAAGGGCCAACAAGATTCGANTTTACGATCACTTTGTAGATTGGCGTGTTTGTAGTTCCTCGTGGTTTAGGAAAACGAATGAAAATGAAGCTGTAATGAAATGAGATGAAGGATGTCTTTCTGATTAACATATAAAATGGTGAGTTTATAAATATTTATTTACCATTGTATTTATCTTGTATTACTGGTCATGTTAAACACACTACGATTTTTGTTGGTTGTTGAGTTATGAACAAAACTGTAACTAAGCACGGGCAGCTATTCAAATTTCCTGGAAATTGTCCGTATCCTCATTATAGTTGAATTGTCGGAAACTTCAGTCGAATCACCGTGAACTTACAAAGCAGTAAACCTCGCTTGTGTGAACTGAAATAATCTCTCAATTAGTGAATTAAATTAGTGAATTACACTTTTACGCCAAAAGGCACGAGTTTTGACAATTAAGGCAACTGGATAATTTCAAGGGCCAACAAGATTCGAAATTTGTTTTTGCTTCGAAAGGATATATCTGTCATATCTTGTCGAGAATGCATTGCGGGCTTTTGAAAACCTTTATTAGAAAAACGCAACTGACATTTTCCAGTCAAATTGTAACCAAAGTTTCTTGTGGATATTTTTCTACGTAAGAAGTTTTGTTTGAGGCATCCATCACATTTCTTAAGAACGGATAACTAAATAGTTTATACAACTGAATTATATTTTTCACGGGCTTTCATTGTGGTATTAACGAATATTGACAAATAGTTTCGCTGTTCAGAACACTCACTTTTTATTCTCCCCTCTGGAGTTTGGTGACCTTGAATAACCTTCATAGGGCGGTTTGTTTTGCATTTTTCATTATAATGCAAATTAATAATTAGTAACGTGATTTCTGCACAGATAAACAGATCTACATCGGAAGATTTCTAGCAGATTCCAGTCTCATTATTACTTTTTTTTTCACAACGCCTTTGTGTTTACAATAATGAAATAAATAATACGCCAAAAATTTAAACACTTGTGTCACGTTTGCAACAAAAAGGCGAAAAATAAAAGACTTGGTAATTGACAGTTAAAAAATTGTCCGTTGCTCTCCGATGTTTTCAAAACGACCAGTTTGATTCCTGGCCCGGTTTTTTCAAAGCCTGATTAAGCTAACCCAAGCTTAGCGAGAATTTTGATTTCATTTTTGTAACTTTTCGGCGAGGTTTTCTGTTTATATTGCTTGTCCTTCAGTTTTCAGTTTGAATAGTCTCGAAGTACGCAAAGCACAAGCACAGAAAAACATTTGTATACAAGGAAAATTAATACTTCGGTTGACGTTTAATCCTGGGTTAGTGTTAACCGGCTTTCGAA